TAAAAAACCGTCAAAGAATATATATTTCAAAATGAATTGTGGTTCTAAAGGATGATCTAAGATGGATAACCAATCGTCCAAAGATGAATCCAAGGCAACTTTTCGTTTGTTGTGAACTGGCGTATTGAAAATGCACTATTTTGCATAATTTTCATCAGCATTCTGGCACGATCGGGTCGCATTTCAAAACTTTTCCTATTTTTTCTCGAAATATAAAAAATCGCTGGAACCTTTGTATATTTTTTTTCAAAATAGTTCATCAAAAGGGTCTTTTTGAGCAAATAGAAAAAAAAATTCGAATTTTTTTGCTTTTGTCTCAGGATTCTTTATAATTACTGAAAGCCGCTCCTATAAAACCGTAAAAGCCGTAAAAAACGACGTTCCGACACCTACAGGAAAATTGTCTCCTTGGGTGCCCCTTGTAGTATGAAGCGACCTTTTAGCTAGAAGTATTGTTGCTGTCCCTTTCAAGATTCCCCAAATTTAATACAAAAGGACACGACACAAGGGCTAGACTCAAGTTTCAAACAAGCATCTCTCAATCCGCAGTTCCTAAGGACAAAATGTACTACTACCATTTCGGTCTCCCAGCGAACAGAAACCACCATACCAAAGCCACCAAAGCTGGGAAAGAAGGATCGCTGTGATAAACACGGATGTTATTATTTTTCTATCACAACCCCACCTTGAGAAAGTATTTTAGTCAGTGACAGATGCTACTCGGCCAGATGAAAACGACTTCCGAGTTTTTCCAAAAACGAGTCCAAACTTAATATTATTAAACTTAAGACCTTCGGCACTACGGTCGGACGAGGCAGGTACAAAAGTCGGACCGGATTCAGGTGGATCGGACCGGATCGCACCGGATCAACTCGGATCGCCAGTCCGGGTTCGGATCAACTCGGATCGACTCGGACTAGACTAAAAAATGAAAACAATATACTCCGACTGGGACTAAAATGAAATTCGTAACATGTTAGACATAGAAAAAGATGCCTCTCTTCGTTTTAAAGGTGTTAGCCTACCTAAAAGTTCACCCAGATCACGATCAGATCACCGTCAGATCGCCGTCAGATCGCGGCAATCAAGCCGCCATTTTTGTTTTTTCTAGTGCCAGGTTCTCCCGGATAGCGAACTTATCCGCTCGTCCGCTTCGCACATGGAGCCGGCCAGATGACTAAAATCACAGTTAATGTAATTTTTAGAGAGTGGAAATCTAAAAACTTTTTCGGGGAAAAACATGCCTCTGGACTTCCCACAGATTCGGCGCTCAGACTCTAGTAAACCGGTCAAGTTTTTTTTTCCTGGATCCGCGCCTGATAAGCTTATCTTATACAGTAGAACCACGCTAACTCGAACAAAACAAAACATAGTTTCGAGATAGCGGGGGTTCCGAGTTAGCCGATAGTAAATGACTGAAAAACAAGGGCAAAGGGAATGGGTTTGAGTTCGAGATAGCGGGGAGTTCGAGTTAACCGAGTTCGAGTTAGCGGGGTTCTACTGTATTATGTGCTTTCCCCCCGCAGCGCAAGGCACTCTTTTTCTGCAAGATGGAAATGTAATAAAAGTGTTTTCTTGAGAGTTCCCTGTTAGAGGGCAGTTTGAAGAGCATCAATTTTTGCTGCTGGAAAATGGATTTTGGACAAGCATTAGGCTGGGAGACTGGGATTTGAGCAACAATTTGGGCTTGGGAAAATGGGATTTATGTCTAACATGCTACGAATTTCATTTTAGTCCACTAGTCCGAGTAGATTGTTTTCATTTTTTAGTCTAGTCCGAGCCGATCCGAGTTCATCCGACCCGGACTGGCGATCCGAGTTGATCCGGTCCGATCTGGTCCGGTCCGATCCGACTGATCCGGTCCGACTTTTTGTACCTGCCTGGTCGGACGCTTTACCATTGCGGAATAATATATATTTGTCATTATGTTACTACCAAGCTTAAATTTACCATAATTTCTTTCCACACATATCTCATATATCAGTTCAAACAAAACTAATCCTAGAAATATGCGGGAAGTTTTCCGTCACATTTGAACCTAGAGCAGTTTTTATGGTCCTTAAGCTCCCACGAGTGTCTGTTGTCGATCGGTAGCTTAGGTCACAGATTCGACTCCTGTTGTGGAGAACTCGGAATTCGTTTTTTCGAGTATCCTGTGGAATGGGTGACCTTGGATAAAGAGAGCATTTCTTCATTATTTCACTTTATCCAAGTCCGCTCATTCCACTTAACATTTATTCACATTTTCGCTTTGACATTATTGGGCCTTGCAGTATGGCATGACATATTGCCGGGGGGGGGGGGGGGGGCGTAACTTTGACCCCATGTCCCCATGGTTTTGGGTATAGGGGTATCGCTGAGGGTTCGAAAACCTGACCCTGTTTTAGGGCAAATAAACAATAAAAAAACCCTAAAAATACCTACCCTGTGTAGGACAACATCCTCTATTTTAGGACCCTGTTTAGGTTGCAATTTAGCGAACCTCGTTTGACTGATACGCGGCAAACGTCTACGATCTCTAAATACTGTATAAACCATATTGTTTTACGATGACAATCGTGGCAACCATACCCTGATTAGGACAGACTCGCATGGAATTATATACCCTGTTCAGGGCAGAGAGGCCAAAAACCATACCCTGTCCAGCGGCACGTCCCCGTATAGGCCACATAAGGGGAGTACCCCCCCCCCCTCCGGACATATTGTCACATATGAAACCTAGTTTGTATGGCCTTGCTCACCATGAGTCCTCCATAGCTCAGTGGTTAGAGCTTCCAACCGGCAACCTGGAAGGTTCATGGGTTTTGATTCCCGTTGGGGGGCTTAGAATTTTTTTTCTGAGTATTTTCGACTTGAGAGCATTTTCTTCATTTAATATATTTCTCAATTGTGTTTCTACCACGCATCATTACTTTACACGCAAAACCCACCTTGTTTCGCAGAAATGACTCTCGTTGTTGTGCCCATACTGCCCTTGCACACTGATTCTCCCACACAGGATGCTGACATCGTTAATCACTTTCAGTGGAAGCTTGATGATACGTCCGGTGTTCCACCAAAACATGGGATTTCTACAATGACATCTATACTGCTCTGTTTATTGTCAGACAGTTCGTAGTCTTCGCCAAGATGAACAGAAACTTGAAGATCTTCACTGTTGTAGATACGCTCGTCTGTCGGTCCGTCAATGGAACGCACTAATCTGAATCCATCTTTTTCCCAGTTGCACTAAGGCTGAAGCATCGTGTTCAACGTAGTATGGTTCGTGGAAGATGTCTTGACTCATAAACACGAGTGCAAGTTCAGATGAGTCCTTCTTTAAAACAACACTGACATTGTATAATTTGAATGGTAACAAGTTCAGACGCGATACAACCTCCTTGGCACGAATCCGAGCCACTGTCCAGAAGGATGGCAAAGATCGAGAATCCTTCAACTTTCAATACTCACTTCTTTCTTTGCAACATTGATGGTTGCGTTTTGAGTAATGTCCTGCCAGGAAATATTTTTCCGTCTCTAGCTTTTGTCCCATGCAAGACAAGAACGCCCTCACCTCTTGAGATTCCCTTCATCGATCTTTATCTTGGTTGTCAATGTGACCGGTTTCTTAAACAAAAGGCCATTTGGTTGAAGATTTAAGATAGGTCCACCAAACATGACGTCATTTTTCAAGTCCCCTTTGCCACTATCAAACCGTAGTAGTTTACGAGGTCCTCCAATGATTATATTTATAGACACGGGATTGCAATTGTCAACTGCTTCAGCGGGGCATACGAGTTGGACACCCTCCGCCTTCACCATGCCACCTTCGCTGGTAATAATGCCGGATTCATATGCAGAGTTGGTTGTCGTGCAAAGTTGACTTTCCTTTACCTTCTCTGGCAAGACCACCTTTTGGCGATGAAAGAGATAAAATAGCGGGGAATATTTTTAGGTCCGTGCAAAACGACGATGAGAGCTGTTGAGAGTTCATTTCACTGTCATCGACTCTCAAGCACTATCTTCGAATTTGAACCTGTTCAAATTTTTTCTTGAGGGTCGTCGATGATTCTCGTTGGTTCTCGTTTGGCCCGTGGCGATGCTAGTTGATGAGAGTGAATAAAACTCTAATGAGAGTCAACTCTCGACAAACTCTTATAGTTCTTATGCTCGTTTCGCCAGGGCTCAAAAAGCTCTACAAAGTACGTACATCGAAAGAAACGTACATTTAACAATTAGACGGGAAGCTCGAAGTTTCTAGCGGCTGATAAAAGTCGATAGAAACCGAGAGCGAGCCGTCTAATTGTTTTAGCATAACCCAGTGGCTTGTCTATTAAATACAGAATATCAATAAAACTGATTTATTGACGGTTTTTGTTTAATATTTTTTTTGGCTGTAATGGATTAAAACAATTAACAAAATGAGTAAATACATAAGAATAATCCTTTGAGAAAATGGAATGGATGTCCTCTTTGACACAGGATACTTAGACACCAGTTTCTCAGGCAATCAATGGACAAAATCATTCCCTAACAAACAACTGCATGTTACACAACAGAATGTTATTTAGTTTGCTTGTGGTCACGTTTGTATGTTCTGTTAATTGGTGGTTGTAGCGCTGTGTTTATACGTTCGTTTATTGGTCTGGCTGATGGAATGGCTGACGAAGGAGCTATTTAGTCATGCTATATTTTTAATTCATATGATCTGCAAACTTGAAAATGACACAAATGTTCATACAAATTGAGCAAACTTAAATTAGATTTCGTACCTTCGTCTTTCAATGCACCAGTCTGTGAATACTCTGTTTTTTTTCCGAACTGTAACACAAGAGATAATTTACATTTAGCTGTAACTATATATATATTCACAGTACGTTTTTCACAGTAAGTATAAATACGTTGTCCAGCAATCGAAATAAAGCCATCCTTTACTTAGTTTTTTATTTTATTACTATTGAGGCGCCATAATTCTTGTTTAAATAAGTCATGTAGTTATTATCAACTAGTAACAACATTTTTAAATGTGGCGAATGTAAAAAATCTGATCACAAGTGCTTTTCCTTAGCCTTGAGATATTCAACGAGATAACGAAACATAGTTACCGGGTTTCCGTAATCTGCTGCTTCACCTTCTCTTGTCACCGATGGCTTTTCCTGATCACAAGTGCTTTCTCATGATATTCCTTAGCCTTGAGATATTCACCGAGAGAATGAAACACAGTTCCTAGGTTTCCGTACTCTGCTGCTTCTCGTTTTCTGTCACCGATGGCTTTCCTGATCACAAGTGCTTTCTCAAGATATTCCTTTAGCCTTGAGATATTCACCGATAGATTGAGACACAGTTCCTAAGTTTCCGTACTCTGCTGCTTCTCCTTTTCTGTCACCGTAGGCTTTCCTGATCACAAGTGCTTTCTCAAGATATTCCTTAGCCTTGAGATATTCACCGAGAGAATGAAACACAGTTCCTAGGTTTGCGTAATCTGCTGCCTCTCCATTTGTGTCACCGATGGCTTTCCTGATCACAAGTGCTTTCTCAAAGATATTCCTTAGCCTTGAGATATTCACCGAGAGAGTTAAACACAGTTCCTAGGTTTCCGTAATCTGCTGCTTCTCCTTCTCTGTCACCGATGGCTTTTCTGATCACAAGTGCTTTCTCATGATATTCCTTAGCCTTGACATATCACCGAGAGAATGAAACACAGTTCCTAGGTTTCCGTAACATGTTGCTTCTCTTTTTGTGTCGCCAATTTCTTCTTTGATCGCCAATGCTTTCTCCATATATTCTTTAGCATTGACAAGTTCTCCAAGGTCATACAGCATAACCCTGGTGACGAGTATAATAGATTAATGAAAACGTTTCTGATATATTTTACCCTCAAATTATTTTTTAAATCATAATTTTTCAAACTTTCAAACCGCCATAAAAAGGTCTAAAAGTTCATACTTGATCATCGGTGGAATTGATAACCTTACTAATTTTATTACACTCCACGTCCTTCTGGAACAAAATTCGTATTACCATGAGGGTCCTGATGGGGTAAAATGGAGGCTGGGATTTGCCTATTTTTTTTTTCACTGGGAAAATGTGATTTGGGTCCTGGGACTGGAATTTGTGGTACCAATTTTGCTGCTTAGAATATAATGGGGTTTTGGACAAGGATTAATAGGCTGGGAGACTGGGATTTGGGCAGAAATTGGGCTGAGAAAATGGTATTTATACCCCCCCCCCCCCCCCCCCCCTTTCAAGACCCTCTACCATCTATTTGTATGCTTGACAATGTCACGTGACAGGGTTCTGCTAATGTCTATTATTCCCATTCATCATACTAAAGCATGGATCTTATGTCCTGGACATGCGATCGCATGCAAGCACTGTCCTGACTTTTGCCAAAAATTATTCGTCAAACATGATTGTGTGATCTGTGATTGATATATTTCCAGCTTATTCTTCAGTACATATGGAATTTAAATAACCACGATATTCTCAGGCCTCACAAAAGTACTACGACCAACTGACCCACACCGCCGGAGATTATCCCGGTTTCCGTATTATAAAGCGACTATAAGAGTATTGCTACTATCTTGTGTGGGATGCTAGTCCAGCACCAGCATTTTGTCGGGCCGGTCGCTATTCAGTATACAGCTCCTGGGTGGAGAGATCAGGAGGGGCCGCAGGTGCGGATCCAGGACAAAATATGACCGTTTTCCAACTGTGCGCTAGAAGAGTCCGTGTGCATGGTCCCCCAAAAAACCTTTCAAGATTTGATTCTACAACTGATGACGCTAACAATCGGTTTGTTCGATAGAAAACGTTTGTCACATATATAACGTTTTGGCCGTCGCATGTGTAATATCCTTACTACTACCAACTCGGGAGTTTACCCTTTCATTCCCTGGAAAAATGAAATCTGACCGATTTCCGTAAAACGTTGGAAAACTGGTCTGGATCCGCGCCTGGGCCATTAATTAGGGCCTGTTTACATGGAGGGAGGGTGACCCGGGTACCTGGGTCAACCCTCCTAGCCGGGCTAAAACATAGCCCGCCTTTACATGGGCGGGCTATTAGGGCGGGCTATCATATAGGCGAGCTATCTTTTTTGGCGGGCTCTTGTTTTGGCGGACTTTTTTTATTGCAACAGCGCGATTTATTAAGCACTACATAACAAGCATGGCAGCAAGAAGAAAGGCTATAGCGGTGATTTTGCTGTTTCTATCGCTTTGTTCCGCCATTTTCGCGGGTTTTCCAATCAACAGAGATAGCCCGCCAGGCGGTGACCCGGGTTTGACCGTTTACATGGCAGAAAAGATAGCCCGCCTCGCCGGGTGACCCTGGCAAGCAGACAGGGTGACCCGGGTAGGCGGGTGACCCCTGTCTGTCATGTAAACACTTCAGTGTGCTTTGTAAAGAAAATGTATGAAAAGTTGTCCTCTCCCAGGGTAGCCCGGCTAGGAGGATGACCCGGTACCCTCCTCCATGTAAAACAGGCCTTAGAGTTAAGAAGAAAGAACAGAACAAAGTGACCCGGCCAGGACTCAAACCAGACTGCTCGATCCGGAGTCCAACGCGCTAACTATTCGCCGGCGAGTCCAATCAATGAAAATCAATCATTGATTACCAATCAATATAATCAATATTAATCAATAATAATTAATTAATTGATATTGATTGGTTGAACCAATCAATGAAAATCGAAAGCCACTCACCAAGTCTTCTTAATTGTTATTAATTATTATTGATTTTTATAGATAATCAATAAATGATTGCACAACAGTAAAAACCCGTGCTTCATGGGCGTTTGATAACGTGGCATTCGTGTGATATGTTTACGCTGTGGTACGTGTAAATCC